GGGTCTCAAACCCGCAGGCTCAGGCAATCTACTCACCTCAGCCTCCCAAAGGCGCAGGATTACAGGCTGAACCACCGGGCCCGGCTATTTTTTTTTATGTGGTTTCTAAAACTTTTGAAATTGTCTATGCGTCCTGCCTTTTATATCTCCACCTAGACCGTCTATCCACCCTCTCTGATGCCGTTCCTCATTCCTTCCCCACCACTCTCGCCAGTTCCTGATTTCCAGTCTCACATAATAGGAGACAATGACTTCCTGGTCAGGACTTGCATCCTCTGGATCAATGTAGTAATCCACCAGCACGTCCTGGGGCTGGCCACATCTCAAGAGGCCATGGAGCGGGTGGATGCCAAGAAAGCTGTGGGTTGGGTTATGGAAGGGCTGCAGGTGCAGGAAGGCATTTTGGTAGTAATGAGGCACTTGTTCTGGGTTATACACGAAGTCTTCCATCTGGAACTTGCCCTGAGAGAAAAAAGAAGAGAACGAAGTCCTTTTAGCATGCTCTTTAACCATATTAACCCCACGGACCTGTTATGGTTTTCAAGCAGAAGGTCCAGCCTGAGCAGAACTAGATTTGCCATTTGACTAATGACGCTGCAGGGCTCTCCACTCACACAGGCTCCTTCCAAGGTTCTGTGGCATTAGGAAGGGCCCTGAGGTCACGGTGATATTGTTTTGAGACTGGGCACGGTGGCCTACGCCTGGAATCTCTGCACTTTGGGAGGTCGAGGCAGGAGGAATCTTCCTGTCTAAAAACGGCATGTGACTAATAGGGATTCAGCCAAGAATATGTGAGAGATCCATAAAAGTGGTTGTGTGCAGCAACATTTTGGTAGTAGGAGAGTGACAGAAAAGCTAAATTAATGGGAAACTGTGGGTAATATACTTTCACAGACCGAGGCCTGGTGACAGAGAAGCACGACTTAGATTATACAGAAATCAAAGATTTAGTATAGAGGATAATAAGATTGAAAAATAAATATTTCTGAGTAGAGTGACTGAGTGATGCTTAAAGGAATAGTCAAATTACCCACAAGACAAATAGCATGTGTTTGTTTAAGAAGTGTGTTTGAAGTTGGGCTCGGTGGCTCAGCCTGTAAACCCATGCTTTGGGAGGCCAAGGTGAGTAGATTGCCTGAGCCCACGGGTTCGAGACCCGCCTGGGCA